GCAATAACTCACTTATTACCAAGGAGATGACCCAAGCCATTCATGAGGGATCTGCCTCCACGATCCAAACACCTCCCACAGACCCCACCTCCAACACTGGGGATTACAATTCAACATGAGATTTGCGTGGGATATCCACACCACATCAACACCCTCCCCTTAACCACCTCCACCTGGCAACCTTCACTTAACCCAAAACTCAGGGCCTCAAGTGCCTGCACGGCCCCTCTTCCATGAGATGGGCTGGGGGTTCAGATGTTCCTCAAAACAAGGAACAAAGCTCTGGGTTGGCACCTCCCAGATTCCCTAGCTCTGAGCACACATTCAGATGCATCTGCTATCCAGGGTCATTCTAAGGATACACTTCAGTTATTGCCATCAGGGGCGTTTCCCCTACAAATACAGTGGCTGCTTTTCCAGCCCAGGGTAAAAGCAGATAGTTGGTGTTTGTGGGAGAAGAGGGTAAGGGGCAGAAAGTCACAAAGCAACAGCACAGGGGAAAGAGCAGGTAACAGCTGACTCTCATGGAGGGGCAGGAGGCAGAAGCATTTTAAAAGCACAGTACCTTGGAGATCATCTATATGATAAAAATATAACATGTAAATATAACTATGTAGTCAATACAGATTTATCAAATACCAGAGAACACCATTTCTGAATCAAAGACTTTGCTAGTAGCTGGAAACGAGGAAGACATAATGTCTGTCCTCAGGAAGCTAGGATGATGCTAAATGTTCAGAATAATGACCCTGAATCAGTTGCCCATCCAACCGTCTATCCATGCATTCAGACTTGATTGAGTGCCTATTGTTTACCAGGCACTGTGCTTAGACCAAAGTATCAAGGAAAAGATCGAACTTGGTTAATACATCTTGTCTCATGAACAGCAGATGTTGCTATGCAAAACATGTATAATTTCAGAGGTGTTTTCGACAGGGTAATATACATACATGTATTTGAAAAAATATAAAATTCTGTTACACTTCTGTTACATAGAAAATCTACACATCCAGAGTACTGTGTTCCTCCATGCTGCTGACCACATGAGGGGTGATGACAAACCCTTCAGAAAAGCACCATCCCTTATGAACCCCAATTGAAAAGACCAGGTCAGAGCAGAGGGTGTCCCCTGGAGGAGACTGGAGAGGGCGTAGGAGGTTGGGCCTCATCTGCTCTGCTTGCAGATCTCTGCCC